CACAGACGAAGAGGAAGGAGGGAGATAAGACAAGGGAGAGGAAGTCACAATGCCCACTCCTTCTCCGGGCTCCTTCCTTGATCGCCACCTCACAGTAACCAGTAATCTGAACACATATCGAAGTCCTGCCACAATGTGCCACGTGGCACCTAATCAGTCCATAATCAGCGTTGGAKCCTTTGTCMACATGAAGATTCCAGGTACGTATCCACAACCTCCTCACAGTCCCGATCTCCTCCTGAAGTGATGATGCAACAACCTTGATCTCTCCCTGAAGAGATGATGCAATAAAACAGCAATGTCGGTCCCTTGGATACGGCGATGTCACACGTGGCAGCATCCGTGTCAGCAACAACGCGTGGCAGCTGCCACGTCAGCAAGTCTTGAAGACAGTAGCCAGCCAGTCTGCGCACCAGCCAGCAGCGCCTTGCCGCTAACTCCCCAATGCCAGTTTAATGCCAGCGCTCGTCCAGCATCGCAGCGTCCAGTCAACACTGCAGAGTCAATGCGTTGAAGCAGCGTCAACACAAGACCGAAAGAATGAATGTCAAAGCCAGGGAGTCCACGCTTATGTAGCGTTGACTCGGGGTCTGGACCCCGGCTGCTGCAGACTCCAGCCGTCCAAATCTTGACACCGGTGAGGGTCTGGATCGTTTTGAAACTGTATCCTCTTTGGCCTGGATGCATGTCTGGGCACCTGCGCACAACAAGTGGATGTATCCAACCAAGGGCCTAACATGGTACCTTTGACTTGACAGTTGACTTTGACCTTTGAATTTCCTGAACCTAGCACTTGGTCCCACAGCCGCGTGCGGCCTTCTCAGATCTGGGCATGTGTTGGTGACACAGCCCAGCGCAGACCTGTTCTAGTCTGCGTGGCCTGAGGCTGAGTTTCTAGGCCCCGGGCTACTTATGAACAGGGTTACTACATTCCTGTCGACCCATTTTCGAGTACCACCGCAGAAATAATTACGACTTCCAACCCTCGTTCATAAGCAGAGACAATGTCAGGAGTAGTTTCAAGCAATTCTTTCTTACTGAACCATCTATCCTCTGATGGTTGTTGGGATTTGAAACGTACCTTGAACTGCTTCTGAGGACGTCCGCGTGCTCCTGTAGAGAAGAACCCGTGTTCTATGATTCTATCGACTTCATAGCTTCCTTCCATTGATGGTGGAATCATAGAGGGTCTGTTAGGAAACTCGTTTCCTTCTATATAAGGCAACAGTTTGGACGCATGAAAGACAGGGTAAGTTTTTAGATGAGGGGGTATATCTATTCGATATGACGGTCCCTCTGCATCTCCTAATACCTTGAGAACTTCCCAGGGTCCAAAATAAACAGGTAGCAGTTTTTGAGACACATCTTCTTCCAGCGAAAACTCTTTAGACTTAACCCAGACCCAATCACCTACTTTGAATGTAGATGGTCGTCAATGCTTATTAGCCTGTTCTATCTTTTGTTTTTGAGTTTTCTTTAGATTTTCTTTTACCTTCTTGGAACAAAACTGCATATTCTCTTGTCCCTGGAGGCAACCTAAGGAATTGGTCCCGGGTTAGTACGTTAATGGGACGCCTAGGTTTCCATCCCTTGTGCAGTGCGTTAGGACTACGTCCTGTAGCGGTATGTACACTACTATTGTAAGCACTGACAATCTTGGGCAAGTTCTCATCCCAGTCAATCTGATCGGGTCTTACGTACATGCGCAAGAGCTGTTGGCATAAGCGGTTCATCTGCTCACTTTGCCCATTCGTTTCAGGGTGTCACCCTGACGACATGGTCAAACGAGTACCATATGCCTCCATCAACTTTTGCCATGGCATACTTGTGAATCTCGCATCTCGATCAGACACAATAGATAAGGGAAACCCATATTCAGTAACCCATCGCATCTGAAATTTTTGAATCACAAGTTCAGTCCGTGCTTTCGCAGGCAAGGGAACAAACATAGCATACTTAGAGAAACGATCAACAATAACCATCACTTGACTATTGCCATTGCGGCTCTTTGTGAGACTCATGAAATCCATGGAGATAGACTCACCTGGTTCACTTGGAATCGACAATGGTCGTAGTAGACCTAGAGGGTTCTCATGTGAGGGTTTGTTTCTCTGGCAGACTAGACAGGTATGAACGTAGGTTAGTACGTCTTCCTTCATTCCCTTCCAATCCAAGCGTTCTCGGACCTCAGCGTAAGTTTTCTTGAACCCAAAGTGTCCCTCAAAGTCGTGTCATTCTCCAATCACCAGACTCTTAATCGCTTTTTTGTGAGGGATACAGAGTCTTTGTTCAGTTTGGTCAATCAAGAAAAGCAAACCATCGGCTATTCTGTAGTTGGGAAGTAGAGAGGGGTCTTTGACAATAGTATCAAGGATAGGATTCCAGATAGGATCACTAGCATACCCTTGGCGAATCTTTTCCTTCAAATCACTTCCCACATCTAAATAAGAGACAATAGTTCCGAAGAAGTCACTTCGCCTGGACAATGCATCTGCAACCACGTTAGACTTTCCTTTAATTGTTTTTAGTTCAAAGTCAAAAGTATCAAGGAAAGCAGACCATCGTACCAGTTTGTCAGAGAGCTTAGGCTGTGTTTTTATCCACTGCAAGGTAGAGTGGTTTGAGTACAGAGTGAAGTGCCTCCCTAACAGGTAGTGCTTCCAGGTTTTCAGTGCACTAACTAAGGCATACAATTCCCTTTCATAAGTGGAGTTACCAACTTTTCCAGTGGGC